AGCTAAAAAAATTCAAGTTACTGATCTTGAAGAAGACAAGACTCTCAAGACAAATCAGATCATTGATCTTCAAACTCATTTTGGTCTCCTTACAGCCAGCTACTTTGATCTGAAGAAGAAGTTGGAAGAGGAACTTGGAGACAAGTTTAAATCAATCGTTGATGAGTCAAGAATGTATTTGCCTTATGAAGCTCCCACTATTGTTCCACCACCTGCACAAACATCTTGAGCTGTGGATCGATTTGAAAAGGAACCAACTCAAGCTCCAAATGTTGTTGCTCTGAAACATGCCAAATTACCCAAATCCATTGAGAAGAGAAAACTTTTGTTTAAAAGGAGCTCAGATCAAAATGCTCCTGGAGATCATGATGGGTTTAAGTCATAAGACATCCTATGTGCTCATACAAACCCTAATGCTTGGATCTAGGTTTCTCTATTGTACATACTTTGAATCCAAGACTATAAACCCTAATTCTAGCATATGGAAATCAATATTAACATATAATTAGGTTTAAGATATTACCTTGATTGTTATGGAGCAATAACAATCCTAAATCTCCTTGATTTGACTTTGGAATGCTTAGAGTCACAAGTATCACTCCTCTAATGGCTTACAAACACCAAGAGCAAATGGAGAAGGTATAAAGAGAGAGGAGAGAGGTTAGAATTCGTCCTTAGGATTCCTTGGGAACAAGTACACGAATTCTAAGGCCTTAGGGTCTTTATATAGGTGTAGAGATAGGGTTTCAGTCATTATCCTTATCTAGTTGCTTATCCACAAAGCAACCATAAAATAAGCCTTGAAAACCCTTATCCTTTATCCTTTGGACGATTTCAAGGATCCTTATCTCCTTGAATTCGTTCAACCCATATTTAGGATAACCATTACCATATTTTGTAACTATCACATAATTACAATTCAGCCCCTCTAGTTTAATTAATTACACTTGATCACAAAATTAATTCCTAATTAATTATTGACCGATATTAATTAAGCAAATATGATTTCTCCTTTAATATATTATTCTTATAACATATTAATAAATCATAATAACCTCTCTCTCTTTATTTATTTCTCCAATCAAGTTGCTTTGGTGAAGGCAACCCAAAAGGACCATGCACCATCGGGTCAAGTACATACCAAAATAGTTATGGACTTAGACACTAATCCAACAGTCTCCCACTTGGATAAGTCTAATAACTATTATGCGTATGACTTCAGATCCTAATCTGCAATCGTAGCTTTCCAAAGCCGCTGTCAACTCTGATCCTATCAGATACGCGTGTCCTTAGATAAGGGATCATATATTCCTCCATTCTAGATATCGTATGAGATATGATTTCAAATCATTCTCTTTGTACTACTTCTCGATTTCCGATTTATGACGACATACTAATTGAACAAATCAAATTAGCCCTAGCCCGGCCGAGCATTTACGTTTGTCATCACTAAACCATCGAGGGGCCCAAAGATATCGTTTTTATCCTTCTTTGGATAAAAGGAACGGATAAACTTTGATACAATGCTTGCTTGCACTCATTCACCGAATTACACACAACAATATGTTTTATAACACCAAGTTACTAGTGCGTTTACATATTATCAATGTGCAACCGATTCGCAAGATACAACTCACACATCTCAGTTTCAAAAATATAAGATGTTATCGTCTCACTAATCACTCGTGATACAATTCATGGAGTAATCCAAGTGAGCGTGGGTTTAATCCAATGCTCAAATCATATTCATAAGCACTCATGAACGTTGCAACAAACATTTGCTTATGTCTAATACTCTTCTAGACAATCCACACACCAATTCACGACAGTCTTCATTCATATCTACTTCCAACATATGAATGACTGTGGCCCGTTCGAATAATTCGATTATTCTTAATAAACTCAATTATTCTGGAAGTCAAAACATGCAAATGTGAAACACAAGAATAGTACTAATCCCATATGGCCTCAAACCTTTGAGTATAAATAAAACATCTTTTATTTATCACCATATTGATTACTCATTATTTTTCGTTTCGGGTAATCAACTTCTTACTTGAATTATTACACTTGTCCCATGCACCTAGCATGCACACAATGTTTACATATGGTTCTTACTTTTGTGAAATAGACAAATTGCACACATTTCCAATCATTCTCATTTCACAACTCCAAATCCATTAAGTGAAAGAATATCAAATTCTTGCTACTTATAGAATATGCTAGATTCTAACATCCTATGCAATGATTCTTTCGTAATGTCACTGCACCAAAGTCACAAAGACTATTGTCAATGATATTACAAAGTCCTCTATCGGAGATTGTTACAAAACAATTCCTTAGATATGATGTCTCTCACTCAAAGTACATTCCTTTGAACATCCTTTTGCATAAAAGTTTCTAATCTAGACATAGATTTTCAATATTTACTTCCTAATATGAACACACTTCCATATTTTCCTCATGACAAATCATTCTTAATAGAATCTTTTCTATTTGTAATGATGTCGATATGGTCCATCCAATATGGAAACATTTCCATATTTTCCAATACTATACTTCCAACTACTCACAAGCGACCAATCCTCGTCGAACTTTGGATTGTCCTTTGACAGTTGTTTAATTATTTTAGTCAAAACCAATTCTAGTCCCTTTTCCCTCTAAATGCGCTAGACATTTGGAAAATTTTAGAATGGTCAAACATTAAAGCATTTGCAATCGATCCTATACCCGAAGCGTATGGGACACGACGCATAATGTTTTATTTGCTATGTTCTCAAAATTCGAATTGTGAAAAGGAATTCTGTAATCATAATCGAAATTTTAAGAACACACGATGTACCTTTGTCTAAGTTTATTAACATTTCTCAACCTAAGCCTTTAGATTTGAAATGAAGCATAATATTCTCTCCCTTAATTATGGCAAAACAACTTTACAACCCTTACGACTTTGCAAGGTATAACTCTTGTTTTTCTATAATTAATATTGCCAACTTGCAATACTTTCCATAATAATCATACAATCATAACTTTTATGCTCCCACTATCATGATGATTACTATAAAACATAACACTTATGCTCCCACTAGCTTCGACATGTATTCACAAACATCTTAACTTTCAGAAAACAATACCTATTGAATTTCTTAAGTCCATGTTTCTAATACTTAATGCTTTGATAATCTTTTATCAAGGCCTCTTAAGCTTATACACCTTTGCTTTAGATAGTTCATATGTGTGTCTAAACTATTAAGACTAATTGCCAAACCTCACAATTCAAATCATGGAAAGGGATACCGTAACCATAATTGAATTTGAGAATGCAACTTTACAATCACTATCTTCTTAAAATCTTTCTTAGTGAAAGCATTTTCTCACAATCATTTTCATGAAGGAGGAAATCTTATGACACTTAGATTTTAATGGTGTATATGTTCCTATCCATGTGAATTTGAAAAAAAATTTATGACAAATTCAAACTCATATGGACCGAACTTTCTTAATCTTGATTTCCTGCCTTATGGTAGTACATCACCTTTAGCATTCAACAAGTTAAAGGTGATGTACTTGATTTTCTTTCTACAATCGTGAAATGAATATTGTTAAATAGTATTTTACCTTTTTGCCCTTGTAGGCGTTGTTGGAGTTGGAAAAGAAGCACTCTGTTTATTTAGAGAAGAAATTAGGTGGGTGTAGTGAAAAAAGACACAGGAAATTTAGGAGATTCAGATGATAAAATATAACAGTTAATAAACAAATGAAAATCACTTGTGTATCATTTGTGTATAAAAGGTAATAAATTACATTGCTATAATAGGGTAAAGATTTTTTTTTCAAAAAATGGTCATTTTGTGGAGGTAATTGGTCAATCCGCAAAACACCCTCTACGGATTAACCAATCACCTCTGCGAAATTGTTCTTCCCCAAATCTAGATTTTTCAGGGCTTTTTCGTTGTCTGTGTGCTGCTAATCAATGGTTTTGTCTAATATATGAAATTTTTAATAGGAGTGAACCGTAAAACTAAAGAAATTCAAAAAATGAATACAAAATACCGAAAACATACTCCGTCGCCATAGTCATCGACAAAAACATTAATTTCATTTGTCATAGCCCTTCCTTTTGGCGATTCATCGGAGAAACGGATGAGTTTTAGATGTGTGCCACCGGAGAAGCCTGACTCGCAGAGGTTTTGACGAGGAACAAATTTGAGAGGTTTTAACGAGGAGAAACGAGGAAAAAATGTCGGAATAGACCTTAGCTTCAAGTTTGACAATTTCATAGAGGTGCTTCTGCGGACCTCGTTGTAACTTCTGCGAATTCGTCATATGGCCCTCATAGAATTACCCATCCGTCATATTTTACCATTCCGCGAAAGAAATAAGTGTTTCGTAGCCGTGGAGCTCACCTCCGCAGAATCAATATCTATACCTGAAATTTTAATTTTTTTTTTCTATATTTTGAAATTTCTCCGCTAAAAATGTCCATATATGTCCATTTCCCAAAAAAAAAAAATGAGTTTTTAGCTTTTTTTTTTAAACAAAAATCTATAATTCAACAATTATTTCTAATATTGCTTAATAAAAAGTTCCTATATATTTTAACAAATATACAAGATTGTCTTTAAAAATATAACTATTGATATTTTATATGTTTTAAAACAATTGTCTTTTTATATAACCTTATGATTAATAATTTATATAACCTTATGATTAATAACCTTATGATTTCAAAAGCTCCAAACTATTTTTATTGAATACTCATGTAAATAAAAGCTACAATTCTTAGTTAATTTTGACAAATGTGCCTTATATATATTAACATGCCACAATATTTTTTCTTCCAAATAAAAAGTTAAAATTCTATTAAAATAAATAAATAAAACCATAACCCTAAATATATAAAATAATAAGATAAAAGATATCCCAATTTTAAATATTTTTCCATTTCTATAAATAATAAAATAATAAAATAATCTGATCGAAAAGCTATAGTTTGGATTCTATACAGTTTCCGGCAATTGAAACTCCGGCGAACACATCCTCGGCAGAATATGAAGAGCCAAGATTTCATGTCCTACAGGCGTTTCCACAACCCACAACCGCGGCGGCGTGGCCATCACATCCACCACTAAAATCCCTACGTCCTTTTCACACGCAACACACACTTTACCACCCCCGGCGGCAATGTACTCGGCCCCTTTCAGCCTCTTATCCTCCATAATATCCGACCAATCATCCCTATCGTGATTGTATCTTTTCAATACACCTCTTGATTCATCCACCACGTATATCGTCTCTTCATCCATCGACGTCGCCGGCCCTTTCCAACCACCTAACATCCCTTCAGCCATCGCCACCCACTCATCGGAATCCACATCGTAAACAAACCCTTGTTTTGCACAATCACCTTTCACGTTTACCATACAAAGTTTTCCTCTCCATCCGACGGCGTCGATAGCTTCTCTACAAAGCTTGGAATCTCTTAAAGATCGCATCTCTTCCCAAACCCCATCGGGATCTATTCGTTTTTTATGAGAAGATTCAATCTTTCGTAGCACCCATTTCTCCACCGACCTAGCAACCGTCTGGGTGTAGTGAGAACCAATTCCACTAGCGACGACCACCGTTCCTCGTGATGCTCCGACTGCGCACCACCTTCGTGGGGTTGAGAGTGGGGGACCGTACGACCAATCGTTGGATAGTGGGTTGAAGACGAGGGGATGTGGGAGGGCAGGGACGAGGTCTCCGGAGGTTCCGGCGAGGAGGACGAGATTGCCGGAGACTGAAACAGATTGAACGGGTAAATTCCTGGATATGAACGATGGATGACGGAGGGAAAGACGGTGGAGGAAGGGTGGTAGTGGTGGAGAATCGATAGTAATCCATTTAGAAGAGATCGGATCAAAGGAAGAGAGTCTAGGCATTTGGTTATCGCGGCTTTCACCCCCGCAGCCGGTGGTGGCTTTGGGTAGAGAGAGAGTATAAAGTGATCGGAAAGGAGGGATGGAGGCGGAATAGATGAGGCGGCGCCATGACCGACAAACGAAATACAAAGCCGACTGAGGGATAAGAGAGATGCATAGTTGGGCTATATGATCTGGCAGCCCTGGTAGCAGAGAGTGATGGTCATCGTCGGAAAGTCTGCGGCGTTTGGAGGCGGGGTAAGTGGTGGCGCGTGAGGGATAGGTGGGATTGGCCATATAATACTGTAGTGGAGGCAAAAGGTATGTTGTGGATGAAAGCTTAAAAAGGAGTTGATCTTTAGATTTTAATATTTCTTGTTTTTTGTAAAATAGAATCAGATGACGTCAAAATTTTATAACCGAAAAATACTCTTTATATATTTAAAAGTACGTTTTAAAAGTTTATAAACAACCAAAAAGAATATGATTACCGAATATAGAAACCGTCTTTATACAACAATGTTTTTTATATGATTATTAATTTATTACATAAACTCATTAACTTAGAAAAATAAAATCTATAAAATATAAATTAAAAGAAAGAAACATTTTAATATGATTTGCCAATATTCAAAGACGATGTGTATATAAAACAATGTGATTTTAGTATTTTACCGAATGTTTTTTTTTTTAAATATAATTTCTATAAAAGATATTTAAAAGAACAGGGTTTGAGCCTTTGAGGGGTCAGGGATATGAAAGGCAAAAGTTGAATCTTGAATACGGACAAAACCAGTTAACCAGGCATGTCCCCAAGAGTTTGGTTTCCTTTATTTTATGTAAATTAATTGTTAAAAAAGTTTCTTTTAATTATTCTCAATTTTTTATTTAAAAAGAGCAAGTGTTTGCCGTCGAGGTCATATATAATGCTTTAAATAGACTCATTTTAAATAACGTAATCGAAACTACCACTTCTAGTTGTGTACTTATGTTATACTTCTCATTGCAAATTAATCATAATAAGTGATCAAAATACAATCAGCTATTTTGAATGAATATGGAAAACAGAATATAGTGCTTTTGTTATACTTTCAGAAAAGAGAATGATAATGGTTCACAAATTTTAGAAAGAAAAGTCAAAGAATGAAAGTAGAGTCAAAGTCAAAATTATTTAAGGTAGTAACGACTTGAAGAAAAGACAAAGATAACAATTAAACTAGAGATTCAAATGATATTTGCATTTTGCAATACATTTTGATTTGGCGTGTGTTGTTGGATAGACTTCCTACCCGGATTAATCTAGCGAAAGTCAAAGGAAACGAAATGTACTGCAAAATTCAACAATTACCCCTTGAGGTTCATTTAGCTATCAAGTATTAACATGTGCAATTAACACCTCCAAAATAAACTAAACAGACGATGCCGTAGCCAATAGGTTACATTTGATGGAATTGATCGGTTATAAACAGAGGTGGGCCCAACATTATGAACTCACAAAACGTGTCATGAAGATTGAAGAAGATCACATGTGTCTTGGGACCCTAAAAAAAAAATCAAAACTTTTTTTGCATCACTTAAATTAGGATTGCGTTAATTGGACCTTTTGGCCATCAATGTCCGTGGGATGATGAATTGAAATAAATAGTAAATGCATAAAGTTTGTTTAATGAATCCAGACATGTATTCACTGTATTCATCTGTTCTCGATCGTATTCTTGACATCAAACCTTTCAATACACTTTATTTGTTCAAACCCGAAACTTGGACAAACTTTTTTGGGCTAATTTTATGTTATCTGTTATGCTATGTTTTGTATGTGATAATTAATGGTTCCCAAGAACCACCAGCATATGGATTAACATGATTAATGAAAACGATGGACACTAAATAGCAGAGTTGGGAACAATTATTCGTACAAATTGCAAGATTGTTCAAATCTACCGATTATTAAATCTAGCACGAATAAAGGCCAATAGGAACATGTTTCAAACTGCTTCTTCCTTCTCCATACTCTCGTCTTTATGGATGAGTGATGTTTCGTTTCCTTTGACTTTCGCATCGGTAGTTGACCCGGTTCCCTCTGTGTTGTTTGACTTTGTTTCAAAGATGGTTTCTGTTTGTTTTGTATCATCAACTTTCAATGGCTCAGATCCCATTGTCTCTTTGATTTCTGCACATCTGGAGATGATCTGTTCAATCTCATCATGCAGATTCAAAGCTTCAAAAAGCAGTATATCATCATCCGTTGTTGTTTCTGCTATTCTTTGAACCACAGGCAAAGATTCCTTGCACTTTTCCAACATGCCAACAGTTAACTCGTCCTGTAAACACCAAGATAATTAAATTACTTTATCACCATTTTAATTTGCAATACATTAATCAAATAATTATGACTTACGTTAATTGGTATGGGGTCGATTCCAGAATTGAGTATGCTGGATAGAAGGTCAAGGCTGTTTCTGCTAACCAAGAGTGATTCTTTCTTTTGTTCAACAGATTGATGGGTGTAGGTATATGGTGAGGTGTCATCTTCTATACCCATTAAGTCAATATCTGGTAAAGGGAATCTATCTGGTGGTGGAATGGGTTGTTGATGAACCAGAGACTCCACTGTTTGATACATAGGGCTTGAATTCCCTCCCTGTCGTGCTGGCGGAATCCCATTGGCTTTCAGGCTCTGTCACATATATGCATATGTACGTTAGATCAATTCTCATTTTGGGCAATGTACTTTCTATTATACACAATAGCAACATACTTTCATTTGCATACATTAGAATACAAATTACAGAATAAATTGGTAATACAGTAACACATAATAAGACCATTGAAGATTCAATCCTTTCTTAATAATACCACTGAAAGTTTACTTCTAAGCTCCATGATAAAGTTGTTAAAGAAACCTTTTTCTTCAAACATAGTTTCAAAGCAATCTACATACATGTTCTTGAAATCTACCTTACAAATAAAGCTCCAGAGTATATAATTTTTTTTTTTTGATTTAATGGTGATTTGGGTGCATTGACCCAGACACTAGGATAGTAAGGATAAAACAAGTTTCAGCAATATGAAGACATAAAAGCAGAAACAAACAAGCAAAGACAAGGAAATAGATGCTTCACCAAGTGAGTTTGACGGAAAACAGGCAGATACATGAGGTCCTCAGACTCGCCCCATGCTCTGATTAACCGCACCGCCTTAGTCCTATTCCGTTCATCCGTCCGAACATCCTGAACCATCGTAACCATATCATCAAGAACCTTCTCCGACGCCACCTCCGAGAAAACCTTATCACAGTTCGATGTACACGTCTCCAACAAATCAAGGCTCAGCCTCTGACTAACCGCGCTCTTACCGGACGTAATCTTCTTCTTAATCGCTTTCACGATCTCCGTTCCGTTGAACTCTTCACTATTAATCATGGCACAAATCCGTAAGTTTAACCCCCAATTAGGCTCCTCCATCGTCTCTAGCGTCGCTTCGTCGACGATCTTTGATTCAGGCGTCGGAGCTTGTAAGATTTCCTTCATCTTCGTGCCGACCATACGACTCATCTGAACTCCGCCTGTCATCAATCGCTCACCGAGCGAAGATGATGCTAGTTTGAATTTATCAAGTTTATCCATCTCAGATGAAACTGAAATCTGAAATCTGAAATCTGAAATCAGAACAAAGATTAAGCCCTAACAATAGTTTGATGATTTCTCAGGGGGGGTGTTAGAGAAGGGGAAAGTGGAAACGGTGTTTGATGTGAGCTTTGGAAGAGGTAAAACGGAGTGAGATACGCGTGGCGGTTTATACGCTGTTCATAATTGCTTCAGATAACCATCAACCATGTAAAAAGATGAGTTTATTAAATTAGATGACGACCTATGTAAAAATCGAATATAAGCAATATATGCTTTTTTGGTAAGCCTTTTAGACCATTTAATGGTTGACTATTATGGTCTATTTCATAATCTCTAAAATGCATGTTTCCACATATAACCAAACATTGGTATCACCAAATGCATCAAAGTGCCATATGAATTATGATATTCAGATATCATCATAACTCATGGTTGCTAAATTATTTGCTTCACATATTATCCAAAACATTATAACCTGGAAGAGGCTATGGCAAGTAAATTGACAAGATTCATCACCTTAAAACCATACCTTAAAATCAATTTAAATGCATATTTATACAAGGCAACATTGTAAAGACCATTAAAACCATACCTTAAAATCAAAATGTTCCCAAAAAACACTTCATTTAGAAATTCTATGAAAAACAGGTGGGCATTGGACAAATGGTTTCATGTGAATGTTGTACAAATCAACAAGTTTGGTACCTAAAATGAAATCATGTGGTTAAACCAATTACAATAAGATATATGTGAATTTGGTGCACTCTACTGACTAACTAAGAAATTGGAATTGATCTTTCTATCATATACAAGACTATAAACATATTCCTTACTGAAATGTGTTGAGGAAGAAACCTTGTCTTTGGTCGCGAAAGATAACTAAGAAAATGTGTGTTTTTCCATTGAAATTGATCATCAATATCACATTGGAAACATTGGGAAACAGTCATACGGTGCTGATTTTTTGTTTCCAGCAGAGAATAATGATGATGATTTATGGTTTGGGATAAATGGGGATAATTCACGACGGTGGTGGCAATGCTTCAAGGGAAATTGAGGTTTTTTTGGTTCGTTCAACGTCATTCAACGATGCTAACATATATAACCGATTAATAGTCATTCAAAGGTGGGTTGTCCCATTCAGAAGCTAATATAAGCCAAAGCAAACGCTTACTGACTTCTTTAGTTCATCTCTTAATGGAACCATTAAAAAACTTACCAAAACAACCCTATGAGCATTTGGTAACCTATTAAATGTGCCTCTAACTAGATCAAATCAGAGGGGGTCAAAAAGCCTCTAGACAATTTAGGTATCACGCTCCTTCTGAACCATGAGAAAATAAAGAAGCCCTAATGGCAACACCTCCTCTCTCTCTCTCATGGTGTCTTTTTGTTAAACCACATAGTAGGATGTAATCATCTAAATTGTTAATGTCTTCCAATTTTTGGATGAAAACTCCTCATCTTTTTTGCTTCATGTTATCATATTGAATCCTGTAGAGTTTCAAGTTTACGTAGTCATGATACTAATTTTGGACACCATGTTTATAATTTTGGATGATGCATTTCTATGAAAAATATAAGCTTCTTTAAATACTTTCCATCAACTACTATGCTAACTAGATAGATTCTATTGTTTAGGCTCTTTCTTGTTGTAGGTTATGTGCTTCTTGAAACATGTTTTTATTGTTTAGGCTCTTGCTAATTTTATGTGTGTTTGTGTTTTTCTTTTCTTGTAAATTTGCAATAACTTGTGCTAGTTAATTGTCAATTTCGATTGTAATGGATTATAGATTCCATATAAAAATAGAAAAATTTTTTACATAGACATAACGGGTAAACGAGAAACAAGATGTTCTAGTTAATTATCAATTTCGAGGGGTTTGATTTTGGTTTTAAGCATTGAGAGGTTAATAATTTGATAATATGTTTTGCAAAGATTCAAGACTCTTAATGGCTGAACACTAAATCATTCGGTTTCTAGCAAACAACCATATACGTCTAAATTTCTATGGATATATAGGTATTTTCCATAGATATGTTCGCATTGAGAAAGAAGATAAAATATTATCTTAACCGTATTCAAATGTTGGGTCTAAGTTTCAATGTCGATGTGGAATTAGAATGAATTTCATATAGGTTGTGTCTTTTGTTTCCACTATGTCTGTCTTCTCTAGTGAGACTACCGCCTAAGTGCCAAAATTATTGTTTTGCCGATCGTGGGTTTTTGGGGCAAAGTGAAAAACCTTACGTGATGGCTGCTAATAAGGTATGAGGACCCATATACATTAATGTTATTATAAATATTATAAACAATAATTTTTTTAATAAAATCAAAAAGGGTATAACAATTATATAATTACTAGGTGATAAAAATCATAATAAAATAATGTTATATGGATTATCCGAGTAAAAAAAAGATAGAGACTAAACCTGTAATATCCTTTAAACCACAACCTACATGAGTAAAAAAGAAAGATAGAGACTAAATTTGTAATATGCCCTAAACCACAACCTACATGGATGATTTGTGTAATTACTCTAGTAATAATAATAAGAGATATTATTTAACAAACCTTTATAAACGAGCTTATTAACAAAAAAAAAAAAAAAAAAAAAAAACTATTATTTCTAGTGTTTTAAATATTCATTTTTTTTTAAATTGAACAATTGTTATCAAAACAAACTTCCTATTTATATATTTAATGTCTATTTCGAAACGTCTAAAATAACAATTTTTTTTAGCTAAATGTATAATTTTAAGCTTTTTATCGCGTGAGTATATATATATATATATATATATATATATATATATATATATATATATATATATATATATATATATATATATATATATATACTTCCCATTTTTTATTTTAATGTTTTTCTTATTAGATTTTAATAAAAACAAATTGTTTTCTTAAAATTCCAGAATTATTCTCGAAATTCTGAAGTTTTTATTTTGTAGGAATCCAAAATTCAAGAACTTTTTTGTCGAATTTTTATTTGTTATTTTTTTGTGGATGCAAAATGATTTACTCAGGAAGATATCGGTCATTTTTCAAAAGCGTATCTTTTATTATCCTTTGATATTAACTTAAATAATTAGTTTAATTAATATCACTGCTACTACTAATAATAAAATGTTTTATCTAATTTGCATATGGAGACATTGACTCATTGGGGTTGAATATTGTTGGATGTCAATTTCTTGCATCACCTCCATCTATTCAAGACAAAGTTTTCCGACTTTTTGCTTCTTTAATCATGATTTATGCATAATTAATTAACCCGAATTAGCACCAAATCAATATTCAATTAAATCGCCAACAAACCCTGCAACTATATTGAGTTATGGACCCACCGATTTAACCCCTTTCTCCTTTTCCCTTCGTCTGTATCATTCTCATGATTCACTCTTCCAAGTGTTGGCGAAAATTCATATACCCAGATGGACGTTTCACCATAAAGATTATTCCTTTGTGGGTTTGATTCAGATCTGTTTATGTTATCGGTGTTTACCTACGACTACCAACATTAGGTTTGTTTCCGGTTCCCAAATATCTCAACTTTTTTTTTGTCGTTTTGTAAGTTATTGATTTATTTCATGTTGCTTCGAACAATAATTTGCTGTGTATTCAATTGAATTCGAAGGAAGTCAGTTTGTTTCGTAGTTTTATAGCTTTTTTTCTGCATATTATTTGTTGGGGTTTTGTGAATTTTGGATGTCAGCAAAGTTGCGAAGTGGGTTCATGTAATTTTAAGCATAGGTTTTGAAACATATTATCAGCATGCGATTAACTGACAGAGCAATAGTCATAAACATAGATTTGTGACGGTTTTGACACGAAATTTTGGCATGTAAAAACTCCCAGGATCGTGGTTTGTATTATTAGATACCAGTTGTTCGACTATTTGTCTGATCCAACATCCATGTGCAATGCTGCGATTAGTTTTCTTGTGACACTAGAAATTGAGATAGAATGATGAAAACTTTTATCTAGTTTACATAAGTCACATTTTGGTCTATTAATCATTATCATTGGTTTATAGCTAGAGAGGTTTACTTCTTGTGGGCATTGAAATTGTTGGTTGTTTTTGACATTTTAATCCCATAAGAGGCTCTTAAATGAGTCTGAAAGCGTTATCTTTGATTATTTGGAAGTTCTGAATTTTGATTTTTTGTAACTACTTAAGCAGGACTGATGGGTGTAGAAAAGGTGTTAAGATGTCTAAGTAACAGTGTTTCTCGATTCATTCATCTTGTCACATTTGGTGTACCCAAGAACTTGCCATGTCAGAAGGAGTACAAAGATGTTGCTGGTTCACTGAAGCTTTTTAAACGTATACTTGATAACATTGATGATACACACATACATTCAGATGAAATTTTGCACAAGGAGTTTGAGGAACTTGATGTAGCTGTAAATGAGGCTCGAGAGTTCATTGAGAATTGGGGTTTTCACTCCAGCAAAATTTGTGGGGTGTGTTTCTTCTTTCTAATTATGAGGTCCATGATATAACTTTCTTTAACAAAGAAAAAAAAAGACATCAATCTGTTTTTATACTTGAATATGTTTCCAGGTTGTTCAAAGCCGAGAACTAATTGTTAAAATCCAAAGCTATTCAATCAAGATTTGTGAAACTGTATTCAGGTCTTTGGAATCATCATTACCACCAACATCTACTACTTTAGCTGATATTCAGGTATGCATTTAACCCTAAAATTAAAAACAAAACTTGGGGAAAATTCGAAATGGAACCCTAAATAACGATAGTGTGTTGCTAACTTGCTATTTCAGCATTGTATGGAGGAATTTGAGAGTTTAAAGTTGGAAACTGCATCTGAAAAGCTAGAGGAGGCTATGAAGTTCATAAGAGAAGGAAAGGTTCCACCATTAGAACATCTAACAGAAATCATAGAGTTGCTTCATTTGTCATCAAGCCAAGAACTGCTCAAAGAGAGCATTGCAGTGGAAAAAGAAAACTTGAAAGCTGACAAGTCAAATCAAGTCGACCACATTGTTGACCTTGTCTTTCATATAAGAGAAACCATGGTAAATCTTGAAAGCTTGAAAGCCATTAATGGTGTTTCAGTCCCTTCATATTTCATCTGCCCGTTGTCCCTGCAACTCATGTTTGATCCAGTAATCGTGGCCACAGGACAAACTTATGAAAGAGATTCCATCAAAAAATGGCTTGATCATGGATTCACAAGATGTCCAGTAACCCGTCAAACACTTTCACACACCAATTTGATCCCAAATTACACAGTCAAAGCTTTGATTTCAAATTGGTGCGATGAAAACAACGTAAAAGTCAACCGAACCGTTGACCACAATCAACCGGAATTGGAATCAGTTAGCCATTTGACACAAAAAGATGAAAATGGATTTGATCATCGATCCCCCGTTGAGTCATGTAGCCACAGCAGGACCGGATCGACATCTACCGCTGTTTCCAGTTCCGATTACCAACACATTTCCGTTTCCAATTCCGGAGAAATCGCTTCCGATTCCGGTTCCGGGTTCTCACAATGGCCGTCAGACGGCGGAAACCGAAACTACCCACGAACGGTCTCCCTTCCGCTTGATTCTTCACCAAATGATATAACAACATCTTCACTTATCGAACAACTTGTAAACGACCTTAAATCCAATTCCAATTCCGCCCAAACGAAAGCCGCAGCGGAATTACGATTCCTTGCTAAAAACAACATGGAAAACCGAACCATGATCGGACAATCCGGAGCCATCCAGCCGCTCTTGCAACTGTTACGATCCAACATAAAAATAACTCAAGAACATGCGGTGACTGCTCTTTTAAATTTGTCAATCAACGGAAACATAAAGTCAATGATAGCGGAATCAGGTGCAATCGACCCGTTAATTCACGTTTTGGAAACCGGAAACCCATGTGCAAAAGAGAACGCGGCTGCAGCCTTGTTCAGCCTCTCGTTGTTGGAAGAATACCGGGTCAAAATCGGTCAATCGGGTGCGGTCAAACCGTTGGTTGACCTTTTAAGATCGGGGACACTAAGAGGGAAGAAAGATGCAGCGACTGCTTTGTTTAATTTATCGATATTTCACGAGAATAAAGCGCGGATTATTCAGGCGGGAGCGGTGAAGCATCTTGTGGAGTTGATGGAACCGGAATCGGAAATGGTTGATAAATCGGTTGCTTTGCTTTCGAATCTGTCGAGTGTTCCGGAAGGGTGTTTGGCGATTGCAAAGGAAGGTGGGATTCCGTTGTTGGTTGAGGTGGTGGAATCAGGGACTCCGAGGGGAAAAGAGAATGCCGCTTCTATACTTTTGCAGCTTTGTCTTGGCAGTCCTAAATATTGTCGCCTTGTTCTTCAAGAAGGGGCTGTCCCGCCTTTAGTTGCATTGTCCCAGTCCGGGACATCAAGAGCCAAGGAGAAGGTAAAAATGCTACTCAACAAACATTCATTTGTTATTTACCATCATTTTTAACAAAAAGGGTAAAATACTCATTTACTCGTATTCATATTGATTGATTAAGTTGTGTAGTCATTAAGCAAATACATAATTTCTGCAGGCACAACAACTTCTGAGTCACTTTCGCAGCCAACGTGAAAATGCTTCTGGAAGAGGGAAATCTTGAGAAACAAAAGAGGTTTTCATTCTTCTAAGTTGCTCTAAAAATCCTTGCTTCTTTTCATAAAAAATATAAAGCGGCTTATGTTTTCTTGCAGATGTGTTTGTTTCCACATCAAGTTATCTGAAAAGTTTGAAGATTTTGAATATCAATGGTGGTTGATGGGGACATGAAAGTGAAGGGTTAGATCAGTTTCAGGCTTCTTGTTGGTGGTTAAAAGAGTGATTTCTTTTCATTATATTTTTTTTTTGTTTTGTGGATTCTTGTATTGTTATCACATAGTATGTAAAGAGAATGAAGGAAGGAAAAAAAAAACCCACGAATCTATGATTTTAATCAAACGGTTCGGGTTCATGCCTCATGGAGAGCAACATTTTTTTTTTTTTTTGCTTATATTTATGATATTTTGCTAGGAAGAAAGATTTATATTTGTACAAAAATCACGAGGACCCGTTTTAAGGGAACGGATGGGTCATGGGAGTGGGACGCAGTAGCAGCTCAACCATATTTCCATTTCCAGAGACAGAGATAAAGATTTGGTTGGAGACGTGTGGGACCCGCTACAATGAAAATACAGATCATACATACATTCATACTCATAGAACCAAAAAACCCGGGTTGACCTGGCCGGTTCAACCGGTTGGACCGTGACCCGAGGTAGAAGGCGGATCAATTGAGAATGTTTTTTTGTAAAAATAACCGGTCGGGTTTCCCCTGAACTGCGGTTGGACCGTTTATGTTAAACCTGTTAAAACCGGATTGATCCGTTTTAATAGACTTTGGATAGTTGGATACAAGTAGCGTACACCAAAATAACAAGTCGATTGCGGTTTCTTCAACGTTTTTCAATGTTTAAACTTTGTGGATATCAAATCATTGGTTTTATATGTTTATGTATTATGCAGGAAAATAAAAATATATAAAAATAAAAAAATACCATAAATCAAGTTGATCCGTCGCTTGAACCGGTTGACCCATGAACCTGTCATTACATTGGGTCAACTAAAAATTCGGTTTTTAAAACATTTCATACGAGGAGTTGCTAGTTTCTGTACTAGACCCAAATCCCAGGGGTCAGCAATTGCAAAAAAAGTCGGTTAGGCTTCTTGTTTTTGAGAAAACCGAGTTGTTTTTTGTAATTTTTTTTTTAAAAAGAAGTTGTTACTACTTTGGTTCTATGTTATAAAATCGGAGAATGCCCAGCCCAAACAGTATTCCCAAAAGGACATCCTTTTAATCAAAAGTATACAAGTCCTTCAATTATTTCCGTTCCGGTGGCCCGATAAAAGAAACCTTGAAAAAAAACACGGAAAGTCCATTTTAAGGTTTTTTTTGGGTTAAAGAGAAATATCGAATAGCACCGACACCGAGTCGCGGAAACATGTTCACCGGCCCCACCCGATTCTTGGTGACCTCCTCCTACCTCTTAATTCTTATGAGAAAAAGGGGTCTCAACATGGGTTAGAGATAACTCCATTACGGATTATAGACCTTTATAAAACGAGTCCTCCATAAAAGCCCACTTTTGCATGCTAATTATTCTTACTTGTATTCTTTATATATATATATATATATATATATATATATATATATATATATATATATATATATATATATATATATATATATATATATATATATATATATATATATACACTAGGTGTGAGATCCATGTATTACATGGGTTTAATTAAAAAAAAACAAATATAAAATTTTAACAATTTGAAAAAGTTTGAATTTATAAGAAAAATGAAAAAAATTTGAATTATTAAAATTAATGAGATTTTAATGTATTGAATACATTACATATATAAACTCTTTTTAATAAATATTTTACATATATATTACCTTACATATTAAGTGTGGAATTTTAATTTAATAAAATGAAAAATACAATAAAATGACAAGTGGAAAATAGAAAATTTAAAAAATCTAGAAAATGTAATGTGTCCAAATAAATGAGAAGATAACATGTGGCAAAAAAAAACTTTCATTTATTATAGTATATATATATATATATATATATATATATATATATATATATATATATATATATATAGAGAGAGAGAGAGAGAGAGAGAGAGGTTCAAATATAGATTGATATTTATTGTGCGGACGTGTGGACAAAGCTATTCTGTGAGAATGAAAAAGAAAATATGTTATTTGATAATATGAATACATTTAATCTTACATAACTATTGTCATTATCACACATTCTCACTAATTAAATCATCTATAAGATTATTATATATTTTTTCATTATTATTCTCATTTTGTCATAATGAAAATGAGTGAAAAACGATGTGATAACAACAATAAATAAGAATTAGTGAGAATGCATGAAAATAACGATAGTTGTGTGAGGTTGAACATATTCGCATTGTTAAACAACTTATTCTCTTAGTAATTTTCATAGAATAGCATTGTTCATACGTCCGCACAATAGTTGTCCATCCATATTATAACCTAGCCTCTCTCTCTCTCTCTATATATATATATATATATATATATATATATATATATATATATATATATATATATATATATATATATATATATATATATATATATATATATATATATATATATATTGTTGTGAGATCCTTTAAAAATTTATAGTTTCACGAGAACCCGATAACTAAAAGTTGACCGTTAGATATAATTTAAGATCATAAGGGTAAGATTGTCTTTTATACTTTTTAAATAATATTTTGAAACAATTTAATTAGCTGATTATAACATCATTTAATTTAAAAACAAAACATTCTATATGATTTTTTTTCCAAACAAAAGATTTTATATGATACAGACTTGGGGTTCATACGGACCTGACATAGCCACGTGTTGTTATATGTATATGTGTTTTGTATGTGGTATTTTGGGTGGCTCTTTGTGCTTACAGTTTTATGATTATGGATTCAGGTGCTTCCAGTTCGAAAGGGAAGGGTACGGCTTGATTGCAATACATCCACCTATGTTTCTGCACTTTATGATTTTAGAACTGTACTCTAATAACTATTTTTACACTGATATAATTTTGAATGGTTAATAAGAATAAATGGTGTTCATGGTGAAATTAAATATGATTTTTTACCTTATGATTTTAGGTTGTTACAAGTTAGTATCAAAGCCTTGGTTTGAGGAATTCAGGCACACTCGTGGGTGTGATTGAACTCAAACTGAGGAATTGAAAATATTTTGAAAAGAAAACAAATTTCTAAAAAGATTTTTTTATACAAAAAAAGGGGGGATGTGATGTGTGCAATCAGCCGAGCTTAAGTAAGTGATTCTCATAATACTCATACATGTTGATATGTTATATGATATGAATGCTTGCATGCTAGGATAAAGCTAAGGATACTTTCAGGAATTATATGATAGATTTTCCTGATATGTGTTGCCTCGTAGCTTAGGAGGATCGGGTGCTATGATAGATTTGGAATTTGTATTGGTAAAAGTAATTTCTAGGTTTATGCTTTAAAAGTTATATATGATTAGGATCATATAGCCTTATAATGACTTATTTAGCCTTATTTCTTGTTCATCGTCTGGTTGTGGTCATAGGGTAGAGTCTTTTATTCGACAAAGTATTCTCTATGGAATTTGCGACCAGAGTATTCTTTACGGAATCTTATTAACGAAAATCATTGGCCTTCGGGTCCTATTTATAGTTAGGTAACTTAGGTTCATAACAAAATTTGAATATTTAAATAATAGATTTAATCCCAGTTTAAATCCTTCCCTTATTTACCACCAGAAGACTTCTGGAAACTCTAGAATCCCTCCTAATTTCGTTCACCACATATATGGGCTCTAGAATCTTCATTCATTTCTCGGTTATGAACAATTACAATTCAAGACCTTTAATTAATTTAAGATCAATTCTAATTAATAATTAATTAATTCCTCATGATTTCACATTAAATTATTAAACATATAAATTACCAAATTAATTATTTAACAACTAATTTCATATTATTTATTAATCATATAATAAATTAACAAACCAATTATCTATCTCTAATTAATATATTAATCACATAATATATTAACAAATTATTTCCTCATAATTTCCAATTAGTTTATCAATCATATAATAATCTAATAAATTATCCTCTCTACAAATATCATTCTAACAAGGTTTTAGTTATGAGAGCAACCCAAAAAGGACATTGTTTCTAATTACAAAAACATACAAACTTAGTTACTAGCTTATGTTGGGTTTTTATTCAAAAAATAATTTCAAAAACATGATTTTTAGCAATGGAAGACTTGATCAGTTTTGAATAACATAAACAAGTTAAACCCATCAATGATCATCTTGCAAAGTTTGAAAAGAAAACAAACACAACCAAAGCAGAAGAAGAAGAAAATTACAACCTTTGAAGTTCTTTGGATCCTCTTGGGAGGCTTGGAAGTTGATGGAGAATGTGAAACCTTTGAGACACCAACAAGTTGTCAAATTGATTTAAGATGCTAGTCTTGTAAGAAAACTGTTAACTCTTAAGCTTGAAGTTCATAACCAAAGTATGAACTTCAAGAGAGTATAAAATCAAGTAATATATTCAATAGATAATCAAAATTTAGAGAACATGCATCTTATATGTTTTTTTTTTTTTTTTTTTTTTTTTTGGGGGGGGGGGGGAGAAGATAAGCACCCCAAAGTGAAAGCCTTTCAAACACACACACAGATATATATATATATATATATATATATATATATATATATATATATATATATATATATATAGCTTGCACAATACCCATGCTTCTTATTAATTTTGATTAAATAAGTCAAAAACCCATGCATCTTAAGACAAACCATACTCTTATTTAAATTTTCAAAAAGCCATACTCTTATTTAAATAATCAAAGATCTATTCTCTTATTTAAATAATCAAAAAACCATACTCTTCCTCTTTTACTCTTATTTTATAAAATAAAGAAATGAGAAGGCAAAACCTTTATATTTTATAAACCAGATTGATAAAATATAAAGTTTAACTTTTTGGTAAAAAACAAAAGAATTTGTCTAGTCCAAAATGTTGTACATGACTTATTAATTCATACCATATGAATTATATATAATGTTACTTGCTAATGAAAATTATTATTTCCTAGAAATAAATAATTTCCAATTTAATCATAAGAGTTTATTGAATATTTATTAAAACAAATTTCTAATAAATAATCAATTGTATCAAGTTGTTGTTAGTGTGACCCATTAGCATCATATGTTAATTAGCAATATAAATTTAATATGATTCTTGACCATACTAGATCTTTCAATCTCTTGCGTAAGATTCATATTAGACTGATATAGACAGGGGTGAACGTCTAGCAATATTTCACTGTCCCCATCAACATACGACTTTGTGCCATTCTATCGACATCCAACTCTT